GTAGGTCAGTCAGGGATACAGGGAGGTGAGGTGAAGTCAGGTTAGGTCAGGTCAGGGATAAAAGGAAGTGAGGTCAAGCCAGATCAAGTCAGTCAGGAATACAAGGTCAGGGATGCATTGTTGTCAGGTCAGGTCAGGTCAGTCATGGATACAAGAAGATGAGGTGAGGTCAGGTTAGGTCAGTCAGGGACAAGAGGTCAGGTAGGGATGCTGAGGTCAGGTCAGGTCAGGCAGTCAGTAATACAGGAAGATGAGATGAGGCTCAGGTCAGGCCAGTCAGGGATACAAGGAGGTCAGGTCAGGATTCCGGCCAGGCAGGCAGAGATACAGGAGGTCACAGGTCAGGTCAGGTCATTTAGGATAAGGGAGGTGAAGTCAGGCCAGGCCAGGTCAGTCCTCATATCTCTGGACGTGAACTATAGAAAGTAGACACAGGGGAGAAGTTTTATACCAGTAAAGTCAACAAGACCTGCCAGTGGGTAAACATTATCACTGGGAGCACTGGTCTACATGTATGTATGTATGTATGTATGTATGTATGTATGTATGGGCAAAGATCTCGCTTGGTGATGCATGGTGTGTTAGATAGATATATAGATAGATAGATAGATAGATAGATCGATAAATAGATAGATAGACAGTAAATATTTCGCCACTAACTTCATTTAAAGGTCACAACGTTCTGAAATAGACTTAGATCATCATCATCATCATCATCATCATTATATTTTTTAATAACAATATATTTTGCTGCCGTCATTATAGGTCGTCTCTGGTCGTTATCCGGTAATTAGTGACCCCGTTATATCACCAGGCTCCACGTCCTTATGTACTGAAAAATGTATTCAGAAATATCAGTACAACTGTGTGTGTGTGTGTGTGTGTGTGTGTGTGTGTGTGTGTGTGTGTGTGTGAATAAACACTACTTAATGGCTTCATATTGACGTGTTAGTGTAGTGACCCTGACTCTTGTTACACCGTACAGGTATAGACTAGGCTATTATTTTCACTGATACACCCTGTTACTACCTGTTGTGGTCACTGTTACACCCCGTTACTACCTGTTGTGGTCACTGATACACCCCTGTTACTACCTGTGTGTCGATACAACTCACTGTATCACTGATAAACCCTGTTACTACCTGTTAGGTCACTGTTACACCCGTTACTACCTGTTGTGGTCACTGTTACATCATTACCTGTTGTGGTTGTTACACCCCGTAACTACCTGTTGTGGTCACTGTTACACCCCGTTACTACCTTTTGTGGTCACTGTTACACCTCGTAACTACCTGTGTGGTCGTTACACCCTGTTACTGTGGTCACTGATACACCCTGTTACTACCTGTTGTGGTCACTGATACACCCCGTTACTACCTGTTGTAGTCACTGTTACACCCCGTTACTACCTGTTGTGGTCACTGATACCCCGTTACTACCTGTTGTGGTCACTGATACCCCGTTACTACCTGTTGTGGTCACTGTTACACCCCGTTACTACCTGTTGTGGTCACTGTTACACACCCGTTACTACCTGTTGTGGTCACTGTTACACCCGTTACTACCGTTGTGGTCACTGATACACCCCGTTACTACCTGTTGTGGTCACTGATACACCGTTACTACCTGTTGTGGTCACTGTTACACCCCGTTACTACCTGTTGTGGTCACTGATACACCCTGTTACTACCTGTTGTGGTCACTGATACACCCCGTTACTACCTGTTGTGGTCACTGTTACACCCCGTTACTACCTGTTGTGGTCACTGATACACCCCGTTACTACCTGTTGTGGTCACTGTTACACCCCGTTACTACCTGTTGTGGTCACTGATACACCCGTTACTACCTGTTGTGGTCACTGTTACACCCGTTACTACCTGTTGTGGTCACTGATACACCCCGTTTACTACCTGTTGTGGTCACTGATACACCCCGTTACTGTGGTCACTGATACACCCCGTTACTACCTGTTGTGGTCACTGTTACACCCGTTACTACCTGTTGTGGTCACTGATACCCGTTACTACCTGTTGTGGTCACTGATACACCCCGTTACTGTGGTCACTGTTACACCCCGTTACTACCTGTTGTGGTCACTGATACACCCCGTTAATACCTGTTGTGGTCACTGATACACCCGTTACTACCTGTTGTGGTCACTGATACACCCCGTTACTACCTGTTGTGGTCACTGATACACCCTGTTACTACCTGTTGTGGTCACACCCCGTTACTACCTGTTGTGGTCACTGTTACACCCCCGTTACTACCTGTTGTGGTCACTGACACCCGTTACTACCCACTGATACCCCGTTACTACCTGTTGTGGTCACTGTACACCCCGTTACTACCTGTTGTGGTCACTGATACACCCCGTGTTGTGTCACTGTTACACCCGTTACTACCTGTTGTGGTCACTGTGTTACTGATACACCCCGTTACTACCTGTTGTGGTCACTGTTACACCCCGTTACACTGTTGTGGTCACTGATACACCCCGTTACTACCTGTTGTGGTCACTGATACACCCCTACTACCTGTTGTGGTCACTGTTACACCCTGTTGTGGTCACTGTTACACCTGTACTACCCTGTTGTGGTCACTGATACACCCGTTACTACCTGTTGTGGTCCCTGTTACACCCCGTTACTATCTGTTGTGGTCACTGTTACACCCCGTTACTACCTGTTGTGGTCACTGATACACCCCGTTACTGTGGTCACTGTTACACCCCGTTACTACCTGTTGTGGTCATTGTTACACCCCGTTACTACCTGTTGTGGTCACTGTTACACCCCGTTACTACCTGTTGTGGTCACTGATACACCCCGTTACTGTGGTCACTGTTACACCCCGTTACTGTAGTCACGTGTTGGATTGGGTAGTTAAGCACCTCTCATATAATAATAAATTAATTAAATAAAACAGAAACATATGGTCGATAGGTTTAATTTATATCGTTTTTTCTCTTATTTTTTAATTATCATCTTCCTGGCTGGGATAAGGCGGACCTCAGGCGTTTTGGTGCTATAAAAAAACTTATTTTTCCTTGGCTCTAATTCAGGTTTAATTCTTTTTGTTTTTTTCTGAGGCTGGTGAGCTGGCAGGCTGGTGAGCAAAAACTATCACCAACTGATGGCTTTGTCTGGTACTGATAATGAACTCCAGCGCACATCCTCAATTTTTATGGACGGACCAGTTTGTGTTAGAAAGATTTTCGATATATTTTCGTCCTATGTGAAAGTCAGATTGATTAAAAAAAATATCTGTGAATTATTTTTGGGAAATTATTTTCGTAGGAAGTCGAAGAAAGGGAAAAAAACTGCCTGTGGAAATATTTTAAAAGAATACTACATGGGATGAGTAGATATATGATGACGTCACTGTTTTACTTGTAGTGAGGCATTCTGGGAGTTGGCTAGAGGTTCGCGCCGGCATCTTTGTTTACCGGAGCACTGGAACACAATAAGAGCCATCAAAGGCGCTCTCTATAACTGGAGGTTTTGAGCAGGTAAACACACACCGTGATACACACTAGTTGTTGTCTAACGAGGAGCCATAGGTGTATTGAGCGTATACACAATGTACCATGTGTAGTCTACAATCTTTGGGTGGTACATGTACGCTGCCCGAAAAAGGTTCAGAATCACTGGTCTAGACGAGAGCTGCAGATCCGAAGGAATTAACGGGTCATACCTGCACGATACCTGTGTGTGTGTGTGTGTGTGTGTGTGTGTGTGTGTGTGTGTGTGTGTGTCTGTGTGTGTGTGTGTGTGTACAGAAAACGTATACAGTGTGTCTATGGACCAAAGTTGGTGTCATGTCAACTTTCAACTCGTGAACACCAACAAACAACACGTAAAAGACTGACCCAAACTTACAGAAGGCAGTTTAAGAGCAACTTGACCTCACATGACCTATACCCACACACACTAACACCCAAGGGTCAGGTCGACCTCATTCCACGGCCTGACAAATGGGTTGAGTTTGGCGGGGAGCGATAAAGTTTGGCTAATTTGGCGAACACTTTCCTCACCCACTGAGACTACAACTGCATTACGCGTGCCGCCAAATTGGATACGCTAACCAATTTCCAAAGGGGGGAGGGAGAGAGAGTGAGAGGGGATGGGCGAGTGAGAGGGAAGGGGAGAGTGAGAGGGAAGGGGAGAGTAAGAGGGAAGAGGAGAGTAAGAGGGAAGGGGAAAGGTGAGGGGATAGTGTGGCGGGGAAGGGGAGGGAGAGTCAAGGGGAGAGGAAAGGTTGCATGACCTGGGATTTGAAAATGTGTTTACTGTGGTGAGAGAGACAGCTGCTGGTGGATATATATATATATTCTCAATAGTTTGAGAGTCACAGCACGTGACAGGTTTGGTATGAATGTGATGAAACCTACGGTTACCTGACATAAATCCCCTTGATTTCTACCTGTGGGGTCACATAAAAAGCAAGGTGTATGTTACAGAGGTTCGCAAACCTTGAAGAATTGTGGCGCCGTGTACAGGACGGTGTGAAAAACATTCGCGACACCCGTGGGGTCTTTCAGTGTGTGCGACACTCACTAGTACTACGAGCTGAGCCTTGCATTGAACAAGAGGGCCGGAACTTGAACATTTCCTCTAAATGTTAATACCAATACAAATCATATGACATTATTATTGTTAATAAACGTCACTAGCACAGTGTGTTGGATGTTTCATATACACCCTATATAGGCTTCATCACATTCCTACCAAACCTGTCACGTGCTGTGACTCTCACTGTTGACAATTGACAGTTTGGTCATTTAGATATTTATCTTTATTTATGTCTCAGGAATACACCCTTGATTAATGAAAGGTATTTACTGAACACCCTGTATATATATATATATATATATATATATATATATATATATATATATATATATATATATATATATATATATATATATATATATATATATATATACAAAATGGTGAGTGGTGTGGCGAGTTTAGACACTTGCTGTAAGCCTCAGTATGGTCCCTCCCCTGGTAGATGTTTGGACACACCTGGACATATGTCCCTTCAACAGCAGTGACCCGTTTGTCCCCAGGACTCGTTTCTTCCCCAGCAGGCGTTGCTGGGATCCTGGTGAGGAAGGGTGACGGACCCTCAGCGAGATATAAAACAAATTGCCTCGAGTCTTCATCCATCAGGAGGTTGTTCTTGTAGCAGGTCAAAGGTGATTACTCCTTTGTGGTGTGGGTCGTCCCCCTCACGTACTACAGTAGGTGCCCGAATAACCTCTGATACTGTCCCCGCACCCCAGCAGGTATCTCCAGGAAGGGAGTGGCGGCGTTCCAGCGCAAGTCTTCGTCCTCTGAAAACCTCTCCTGTCCCCTGTAGGTGATAGCGAGATTACTTCTTTGTACTCGTAGGCATCCCCTCCCCTTAGGTCCTCTGAAACAGATCCTAATTTTTGGTGTGTCTTCCCCAGCAGGCAGCTCCGGGAACCTACTGAGGGGGGTGACGGTGCCTCAGTACGCCTTCGCTGGGGGTCAGGCCACTCTGAGCTGCTCCTACGACTTGAGGGCCACCAGACTCTACTCCCTCAAGTGGTACCACAACGGCACCGAGTTCTACCGCTACGTCCCTACTGAACGCAACACACCCATGAACATCAAGCCCAGCCACAAGTTTTCTGTCACTGTGAGTGATTTCTAAGTGTTATCTATGGTGTTCTCTGTGTACTGTCTACCACCACAATAACCAAACACCACAACCACCACCACATCACCACACACCACCACCACCATCACCACTTTCCTTCAAAGCAAAACACGCATATATGTACCTGGCCACAAGGACAAGCGTGTGTTAATCTGAGTTGAAGATATGAAGAACAAGTAGTGAAGATGAAGAGTTAGTGATAATGAGACTGTACGGTAGTGTCTTGAACAGGTTCCAGGTTTGTTTGTTACTAGATAAAACCTCAGTGAACATGACAAGAGTTGGTGACTTAACTGAACTCCCACCTAACAACGACAACATTGAATACGATCCAGGTCTGTCAAATGGAACCCTAAAAACTTTGATCAGGGAAAAAAAAACTTGTATACAAATGTGAAGAAAGCAGACAGAAGCAGACATGAGTAGACAGGCGCAGACAGAAGCAGACAGGAGCAGAGAGGAGTAAGACAGGCACAAGTCAAGCAGTTCATTGTCTAGTATGGCCAAGTTGTGTTGAGTAAAGCGTGTGTAGAGAGCAAGCAACTAGATGAATTGATTACAAGATGTCTTAACTACTAGATTGGGGTTAGGATATAGGTACTGTAGCTCTGTCAGTATACTATTCAAATAACACCACACCACACAACACCACACACCAACACCACACACCACCACACACCAACACCACACACCACCACACACCAACACCACACACCACCACATAACACTACACAACACCACAACACCACAACACCCAGTCAACACCACACCAACACCACACAACACCACCACCACACAACACCACACCAACACCACACAACACCACACAACCACACCACTACACAACACCACACACCACTCACACAACACCACACACCACCACACAACACCACACACCACACACAACACTACACAACACTACACAACACTACACAACACCACACAGCACTACACAACACCACACAACACTACACAACACCACACCAACACCACACAACACCAGACAACACCACACCAACACCACACACAACACCACATCAACACCACACAACACTACACAACACCACACACACCACTACACAACACCACACACCACTACAACACCACACACACCACGACACAACACTACACAACACTACACAGCACTACACAACACCACACACCACTACACAACACACACACCACACCACACAACACACAACACAGCACTACACAACACCACACACCACTACACAACACACACACACACACAACCCACACACACCACAGACCACCACACAACACCACACAACACTACACAACACCACACACCACTCACACAACACCACACACCACCACACAACACCAGCCAACACCACACCAACACCACACAACACCACACACCACACCAACACCACACACAACACTACACAACACCACACCACTACACACACCACACCACACACAACACACACACCACCACACAACACCACACCACCACACACCACTACACACCACACACAACACCACAACACACACAACACACACCACTACACAACACCACACACCACACACACAACACCACACACCACCACACACCACACTGCACCCACACACACCACTACACAACACCACACAACACACAACACCACACAACACTACACAACACCACACACACCACTACACACAACACACACACCACACAACACCACACACCACCACACACCACCACACACACACCACACAACACCACACACCACCACACACCACACACACCACCACACACCACCACACAACACTACACAACACCACACACCACCACACCACCCAGCCAACTCTTACCTGCCGTAAAATTGATTATTAGCCTCGTCCGGCCTTAAAGAACAGAGTATCTCAGACCAGGTCATGTTTTGCAGTGTATAAACAGACACAAACTGACAGACACACACACTGACAGACACACACACTGACAGCCACACACACTGACAGACACACACACTGACAGACACACACTGACAGCCACACACACTGACAGACACACACCTGACAGACACACACACTGACAGCCACACACACGACAGCCACACACTGACAGACACACACTGACAGACACACACACTGACAGACACACACACTGACAGACACACACACTGACAGACACACATGACAGACACACACTGACAGACACACACTGACAGACACACACTGACAGACACACTGACAGACACACACACGACAGACACTCACTGACAGACACACACACTGACAGACACACACACTGACAGCCACACACTGACAGACACACACTGACAGACACACACACTGACAGACACACACTGACGAACACACTGACAGACACACACACTGACGAACACACTGACAGACACACACACACTGACAGACACACACTGCCAGACACACACACTGACAACACACACGACAGACACACACTGACAGACACACACACTGACGAACACACACTGACAGACACACACTGACAGACACACACTGACAAACACACACTGACGAACACACTGACAGACACACACGACACACACACCGACAGACACACACTGACCAGACACCACGACGAACACACACTGACAGACACACGACAGACACACACTGACAGACACACACTGACAGACACACACGCGACAGACACACACTGACAAACACACACTGACAGCCACACACGACAGACACACACTGACAGACACACACTGACAGACACACACTGACAGACACACACACTGACAGACACACACTGACAGACACACACACACTGACAGACACACACTTATAGACACACTGACAGACACACACGACAGACACACACACACTGACAGACACACACTGACAAGACACACACGACGAACACACGCACAGAACACTGACAGACACACACTGACGAACACACACACTGACAGACACACACTGACAGACACACACTGATAGACACACACACTGACAGACACACACTGACAGACACACACACTGACAGACACACACTGACAGACACACACTGACAGACACACACTGACAGACACACACACTGACAGACACACACACTGACAGACACACTGACAGACACACACACTGACAGACACACACTGACAGACACACACACTGACAGACACACACTGACAGACACACACACTGACAGACACACACGACAGACACACACTGATAGACACACACACACACTGACAGACACACACTGACAGACACACACTGACAGCCACACACTGACAGACACACACTGACAGACACACTGACAGACACACACTGACAGACACACACACACTTATAGACACACACACTGACAGACACACACTGACAGACACACACACTGACAGACACACACTGACAGACACACACTGACAGACACACACTGACAGACACACACTGACAGACACACACTGACAGCCACACACTGACAGACACACACTGACAGACACACTGACAGACACACACTGATAGACACACACACTGACAGACACACACACTGACAGACACACACACTGACAGACACACACACTGACAGCCCACACACACTGACAGACACACACACTGACAGCCACACACACTGACAGACACACACACTGACAGACACACACACTGACAGACACACACTGACAGACACACACACTGACAGCCACACACACTGACAGACACACACACATGAACACACACAGAGACACACACACTGACAGCCACACACACTGACAGACACACACACTGACGACACACACACACTGACAGACACACATGCAGCAGACACACATGACAGACACACACACAACAGCCACACTGACAGACACACACTGACAGACACACCGACAGACACACGGAACACACACACTGATAGACACACACACTGACAGCCACACACTGACAGACACACACACTGACAGACACACACAAACTGACAGACACACACACACCCTGACAGCCACACACTGACAGACACACACTGATAGACACACACACTGACAGCCACACACACTGATAGACACACACACTGACAGACACACACACTGACAGACACACACACTGACAGCCACACACACACAGCAGACACACACACTGACAGCCACACACTGACAGACACACACACTGACAGACACACACACTGACAGACACACACTGACAGACACACACACACTGACAGACACACACACTGACAGACACACACTGACAGACACACACTGACAGACACACACACTGACAGACACACACACACTGACAGACACACACACTGACAGACACACACGCAACACACTGACAGACACACACACACACTGACAGACACACACACTGACAGACACACACTGACGACACACACACACTGACAGACACACACTGACAGACACACACTGACAGACACACACACTGACAGACACACACTGACAGACACACACACTGACAGACACACACTGACAGACACACACACACTGACAGACACACACACACTGACAGACACACACACTGACAGACACACACACTGACAGACATACACACTGACAGACACACACTGACAGACACACACTGACAGACACACACACTGACAGACACACACTGACAGACACACACACTGACAGACACACACTGACAGACACCGAAACAGACACACACACACTGACGACACACACTGACAGACACACACACTGACAGACACACACTGACAGACACACACACTGACAGACACACACACACTGACAGACACACACTGACAGACACACACTGACAGACACACACACACTGACAGACACACCCTGACAGACACACCACGACAGACACACACACTGACAGACACACACACTGACAGACACACACACTGACAGCACACACTGACAGACACATGACGAACACACACTGACAGACACACACACTGACAGACACACACTGCAGACCACACTGACAGACACACACACTGACAGACACACCCTGACAGACACACACACTGACAGACACACACACTGACAGACACACACTGA